TATACCGCAAATTTTTTTATAATTTTTTTTTATAAATCTCAATAACTTCTTTTCCTCGCCTTTCCCGTGCTGGCTTTCGTCGCATTACACAAATAACCATGTTTCAGAAAACTCCATAAGGGAGGAGCCAACCCAGTTGGCGCATGCACCTTATTTAAAAGGGGAGGCTCCATCTCACTTGGCGCCTATGTGTAAAAGGCTTGCCCTAAGCCAAGTAAGATGGCGCCTTAGTACAAAAGGCAGGCAATTTTTCGCGTTTTTTATTTTAAATGTGGTACGTTACGTAAACGATATAGGATCAAGAAAATTGACTTTTATTTACACAATATGATTACACACATAACTATTACATAAAAAATACAGATTAATCAGTGGTCCCCCGGAACCCGGTAATGACCCCCGGTTCTGCATCCCCGTCCTCGCCTTTCCCGTGCTGGCTTTCGTCGCGTTTCCTATTGTGGCAGGGTCGATGGCCCAACGAAGTCAATGCATTCCAGATCCATGAAATTGGTCAGATCTCCATATCTAGAAGATCCGCTTTGGTACAGTCGGTTGCCCATACCCTCAAAGTTTGGTTGTGTTGGTGATGGGTGGGGTTCCATGGTTGATATGTAGCACTGGTCGTTTGAGTACGGGGGGTAGAAAGGAAATAGATCTTGGGGTGTTTGATATTGGGAATGTTGGGTGCTTTGGTGATATTGTGGTTGATGGTAAGTTGGGTCGGTTGGTTCATAATCTTCGGACAATCCCAGATCAGGGCTAAGGTTAGATGTTGAGGAGCATATATTGGGATATGTAGAAGACTAGAATTGTGTGTGAGGTATGTGGGTGTATTGGTATTGTGATTGAAATTGTGGTTGGGTGTGAGGCATATGGGGGTATTGGTATTGATATGGTGATTGTGGTTGGTTGTGTGGCATGTGGGTGTAATCGTATTGTGGTGGTGATTGTGGTTGGGTGTTTGTGGTTCTGTTTCGTCGGGGGGGTTGGTGGGAGGTGATGTGTGTTGGGTTTCTTGTTGGGGAAATGAGGGTTGTGCTCATTGTGTTCGTGGGTCAACCAAATACCTTGGATGAGACACGTGCATTTCTGAGGTACTAACCGATTTGTACCAAGCTAAATACTGATCTGTGTGTCGCATATTACCATGGTTAAGGAAAATTGGGAATTGCAAGACATGTCGGTGACGCCTCTACCACATCTTACACCATTCTAGAGCAAAATCTTTCCAGTTGGTAAGACCCCATTGAGCGTCGACCCTTTTGAGATGCCACGGGGACAAACAAGTTGGATCGTAGGGTATCTCTTGATGCATTCCAAACTGCATCTTGACACGGTCACAGTGGTGCATCTCCACAACATTGAACCGTATGATTACAGTCTTTACGCTCCAAATTGTTGCATCCTTGGAGTTTGATTCATGGTCCAAACCCAAATATGGCCTCCAGACAAACTGCGGATACAATTAAATCAGCTTAATGAAAACATAATAAATAAATAATTTAAAAGTAGAAATTTGAAAGGTATGAGGTACATCATCTGGGCCAAGGTGATCCAATAGATTGCGGTATAGAGCGACATTGAATCTTAGATTCTTGTCGTAATCCATACCCCTCACGCAGCACCTAAAGGATTTGAAAAATATTTTATTTTTATCATATATTTGGTGAAGAGATGAATAGTAATAAATGATATAAGTTGATGACTTACTTTGTTGCGTATGGGAAAATGAATGTGTTGTTGTTGACGGGGTTTAGGGACTCCATTCTCCACAAACCCCAAGCTTGAAGTAGAAAAGCTCAGCCATAAAATGTACATTTTTCCTTGATTGCATTTTTACACAAGGAACTGTATAGATGGGCTAAAACAACAGAACCCCAACTATGCTTTCTCGTTTTTTCGAAGTCTCTAAGTAAATTTAAATACATAAAATTTACACTATTTCCCGTACTTTCGAGAATAAAAAGGTTCCAAATAGTATCATTATATAATTTCTAGCTTTTATTACCTTAGCTAGCTCGGAGGAATTTTCGTTCAACTCCAGAGTCGCATAATGATTTTTTAGTTCAGTAAGTAGTATACCCTGACCTCTCGCACCACCACCTTCAACCATATCCCTGCCCAAAAATTCTTCACACAGAGAATTGGGTTGTTGAACCGACCCATTAACCGCCTTACCGTCGACAGGGAGACCCAATAACATGTACACATCCTCTAGTGTGACGGTACATTCACTTATTGGTAGATGAAATGTATGGGTCTCTGGTCTCCATCTTTCCAACATTGCAAGTATGAACTTTGAATAAATCGTGCAGTTGGAGATCTTTATACGTTTCTGAAACCTACGTATTCGAGATAGGGTATAATCAACGGGTCGGGAGCAAGGTAGTTGTGTGACTGGATTCTGAATCTTTTAGTATCCTAAGTTAAGACTGTAAAAAGTGTAAGAGTCGGTAAGATGAATAAAGCATTAATAGAAGTATGAAAAATATATAAGTATACAAGAAACTTACAAACGCTGCAATATTGTCCCTTGTACCTCTGTGAGAATCACCCATTGTTGAAATTGTTTGAGATTATGAAAGAGTTTGAAGTTGTATGAGATTATGAAAGAGTTTGTAGTAGAGAGTGAGACGATTGTGGATGCAATAGAAGTATGTGAGGCTCTGTATTTATAGGAAAAATTTTATCAAAGTAAGTGAGGTGGTTGGTGGGTGCATGCATGCAGGATAAGTGTCATTCTTGCAGTGTAGGTGCAGGCTACGTGGCAGCCTTGGGGAAGGTATATCTGCATGCATGTAACACGGTTGGACGTGAAGGGAGGCACCATTGGACTTGGCGAATGAGTACAAAAATGAAAGGTGTCGCCATCCCTGTTGGCGAATAAGAGGTGGCATGGGTTACAGTGTAGGTGTAGGCTAGGTGGCAGCCTTGGGGAAGACATCTCTACATGCATGTAACACGATTGGACGTGAAGGGAGGTGCCATTAGACTTGGCGAATGAGTACAAAAATGAAAAGTGTCACCATCCCTGTTGGAGAATAAGAGGTGGCATAGGTTGCAGTGTAGGTGTAGGCTAGGTGACAGCCTTAGGGAAGGCATCTCTGCATGCATGTAACACGATTGGACATGAAGGGAGGCGCCATTGGACTTGGCGAATGAGTACAAAAATGAAAGGTGTCTCCATCCCTGTTGGCGAATAAGAGGTGGCATGTGTTGCAGTGTAGGTGCAGGCTAGGTGACATCCTTGGAGAAGACATCTCTGCATGCATGTAACATGATTGGACGTGAAGGGAGGCGCCATTGGACTTGGCGAATGAGTACAAAAATGAAAGGTGTCACCATCCCCGTTGGTGAATAGGAGGTGGCATGGGTTACAGTGTAGGTGCAGGCTAGGTGACAACCTTGGAGAAGGCATCTCTGCATGCATGCAACACGATTGGACGTGAAGGGAGGCGAATTAGAGGTTGCTTACTGTTGGTTTATTCAAATTCAGTACAACCTATTTAATCTTACATTCATCAAAACACTCCTACACTTAATCACTCAAACACTAGAACATTAAAAATTCAAGCAATTAACTCAAATACTTCAAACCTTCAAACCTTCAAACAATCATACACAATGGCCTCTGCACCCCAATATGTGATCAATGCATATTTCAACAGTGAGACATACATTTGTCCCACCTCTGGGTTTTTATTTAGAGACACTGAGAACATCCGATTTTGTTTAAACAGGAAAGTCAATTTCTTGTATTTCAAAAAATGATTGGAGGCCAAACTTGGACGAGGTCGCGTGACACAAATCTTTTATTAGAATCCGGTTTTTTTGGTAACAACCAAATGATATTTTATAAGGTTGAGGTTCAAGATGACGAGGACCTTCAGAATCTCCGAACACACGTGGCTCCTCAACTAGATCTCTGTTTGATCTCTGATAGACATGCATCTATTGAAAGTACATACAACAATCCTGCAAACGGTTGGCATGATCCTCCTTCTACGCATGTCTATTGCATTAGACATATCGTCCAAAGTTTCACGAGGGAGATCAAAGACAAAGCTCTTAGAAAAGCGGTTATGAATGCGGGATATGCATTGACACAACCTACATTCAAATATTATCGCAACGAGATCCGTTTGTCAAATCCCGACACCGGTAGGTGGATCGATAACATTCCGGTAGAAAAATGGACTAGGTCATACGACAATGGACAAAGATGGGGCCACATGACATCAAATCTAATTGAAACAATGAACGGGGTATTCAAAGGCATACGAAACCTCCCAGTAACTGCTTTGGTTAAATCAACACCCATCTGGTTATACGGTTCAACCGACACAGCCACAACTTCATTGTCAAAGAGACAATCGACCACAACGAGAGCCTGCCAAGACAAGAGTATAGGGTTATACTACCTTCTCGCTGGTGCGATTGTGGCAAGTTTCAAGCCTTTCGTATGCCTTGCTCTCATGTCATTGCTGCATATGCCTATACTCATTAAGACGCGTTACAACTTCTGTCTTCCATTTACAAATCTGAAACCTTGCTCAACGTATACAACAACAGCTTCCCTTTTGGTAGCAAAACCTGATTATTAACCTGCATACGACGACGAAATAATATGACACAATAATCAAATGCGAAGGAATAAAAAGGATCGTCCCAAAAGTAAGCACATCACAACTGAAATGGACTTCCTTTAAAAAAACATTATACAATCACCATCTTACACGTCTATCACTCCATATTTTTTATTTTTGTTTTAACCTAATTCTTAAAAAAAAAAAAAAAACACTACAATGACAAAAGAGGTTCATGTTTCTATACGCAACCACATGATAATAATATTATATAGTACTCTCTTTGTTCTCTAATAAGTGGTCCATTAAACTATTTTACATGAACTTTTTAAAAAAATTGTACAAAGGAAAAATACTTATAAATATCATTTGTGGGCTGTTTAGTGAGAATAATTAAGGAGAGAGAGTAGAACCATGGAAGAGAAAAAGAATTTCTCTGGAACTTCACTTCTTGTGCCATCAGTTCAAGAGTTGGCCAAGAACACTACTTCAGAAATTCCACAAAGATATATTCAATCTCAACTTGAAGAATTGGTCATCAATGAAACTGATAATGTCCTTGAAATTCCAGTTATCGATATGAACAAATTGCTTTCTTTAGAATTTGGGAGTGAAGAATTGGCTAACCTTCACCTTGCTTGCAAAGATTGGGGATTCTTCCAAGTAACTTTTTCTATACCGCAAATTTTTTTATAATTTTTTTTTATAAATCTCAATAACTTCTTTACGTTATTTATTATTAATTCTTAATTATTGTAGTTGGTAAATCATGGTGTTAGTTCTTCTTTAATGGAGAAAATAAAGTTGGAGATTCAAGATTTTTTCAACCTTCCATTGTCTGAAAAGAAAAAGTTTTGGCAAACTGAACAACATATGGAGGGATTTGGACAAGCATTTGTTTTGAGTGATGAACAAAAGCTTGATTGGGCTGATATGTTTTATATGACAACACTTCCTAAGCATTCTAGAATGCCTCACTTATTTCCACAACTTCCTCTTCCTATCAGGTTCTTCCTCATCTTTTTGTTTATAATAGTTAGATTTATATAGTTATTAAGTTATCTAAAACCTAGTATACTAATAGTTGATTTGGCTAAAAAAAGAAAAGTAATTTATTAAAATAAAAAGTTCTCTCTATTCGGATGATAAATAGACATGTCTGTTTTATTTAAATTTATTCTACAAATATTCAGAAAAAACTAGAACATAATGTACACAGTTAAAGGAACGGTCTTAAAATCTTAATCTATTATGAAACAAATGAGTACAGGGCATGACATGACAGCAACAAACAGACAATGTTGGAAATATAAAGCCTGTTTTGCCAGCAGCCCACCACTTTAAATTTTAAACGGTTTATTAAAAAGTGATTCAATACATGTGCGTGGTTTAGTGGTTAAAGTTTGAATCTTGAGTGTGGACCCCTTTAAGATCTTATGTTCAAATTTCATTAGATACAAATTATTTATTAAAAAAGACTCGAAACTCACTAAATACAAATCGTTTATTAAAAAAAAAAACAAGTGATTCAATATATAGTAATCAAGTGTCTTTATCTACGTTTGTGATTCATTATATAATAATCAAGATGCTTGCATGATTGATAAAAAACAAAAATTATTTTCGTCCAACATCAAAAAGTTATTAAATTATCATGATTGGTGTGTAAGTATGAGACTTATTAAATTTATAACTCTTGTTTGTTTTGTTAGGTTTGAGTACCTTCGTGCTCTTTCAATATATTTTTGTTTATAAAAAAAAGTATGATTGTGGAAAATAATTAAATATACTCTGTCGGTAATGATTTAAGTAAACTTTATATTTTAGATTTATTAGATAATTAATTTCTTGAATATATTTTTTTTACTAAACTATCAATATTTTCCTCCTTTAGTTTTGAAATATCATCTTTTTCCCTTAATTTCAAAATATCATCATTCTCCTATAATTTTCAAAATACACCATCTTCAAATAATTTTATTTTTTCATATGTATTCCTCTATGAGTCTGCTAATTGCTCTAGAGAGTTGTACAAATTTGAAAATTTGACCCTATTCTTTTATCTTGTTTAAAATTTTATGTATTAATATTTATTTAATTCTATCAATAATTAATTAAAAAATTAACTTAATCAACTAAATCATAAACAATTTATTTAACTACTGCTTTTTGGGATAATAAAGTCTTTGGTTTCTTATAGTCTAAAAACATGTTTTCATCTCTTTATCATTTAAAATTTTAAAGGGCACTTCCATAAATCTCCAACGTGACTCAAAACTTATACTGGTATCAATTTAACCATCAACAATCTTTTTATTGTCTTCAAAGTTGAATAACTCATCAAAAACATTGATCGTGTCCCTTGTATTTACTGGTACCTAACCATCTTTTCCTGCTTAGGCAGTCTTGCATGACCACAAAAATGTTTATTCATTAATTTTTTTACTCACTTTTCTTTAGAATGCCTGCCTAAATGTCCATGTTTCTAAGTCTTATAATCTATAGTGATATAATTGTGAGGGACCTAACTAAGGGCGACATACGGATCCCCGCCAAGCGTCGCCCAAACGTAACTTTTACTTGGCATGGTGGCTCGCTATTAGGGAAAACGTGTACAATATTGTTACCCAATCACTAACCACATGAGTGGGGTTATCCAATGACTCCCTAGAAAATAAGCATTCTACAGTTTACCCCAGTCAAGGAGGAAAGGATACCACCTCTTTGAATTTCCTAAACTTTAGGCCAAAAAACCTCTATGAATACCTTACTCCTTATAGGGAGATTGACAAATCATTATATCCTCAAAATATGCGCATAAAATACAGAGCTTCTTATCTCACATGAACTTGCTCTCTCCATAGCCAAACACCACCTTCAAACAGGGCCTTTCACCACTGTAAGCAAGCCCTAACCATCAATAACTACAAAGGCCAATGGTTATCCCCTACCCGCATATGGACACCACATACTTGTACTTTTGGAAAATGTACAATAGCGCTCACCGTGGGGCCCGATAAAATTAACCTAGGCCACACCTTCTATTATCATCGCCATTATTATACCCACTGACATCTCCATTCATGTACCCAACTGTTTCCATCCATGGTAAACATGAGACCATCTTCCCCTATAAGAGAGTATATCAGGGGTAGCAATGATGCCAAATTCTTGGCAGAGATGTGTGTCTTCATTGATGAAGTGCGTCGTTAGAAACACAATTTGGAGGACAACATCCTCAATATTTGACAATGCCAATAAGAGACCAATCCCAAAGAGGAGATGAAAATGCTGGATGCCAATAACTTTAAGATATATGGGATGTGTATTTCCTTTAAGGTTCAAACCTTCCTCTCTATCGAAGTTTTATGGGTACAATCATCCTTATGAACATATCACATCCATCAGTGCACAAATGACCATCATTGAAGTGCCCAACTCCCTGAAGTGCAAACTGTTGTCCGACACCTTTTAGGGACGCAAACTTGTGATGGTATATGGGTCTGCCCTGACCTTCCATCACCAGCTATCAAGAGATGGTGAAGAAACTTGTATTTTAGTTCACATCTAGTTGACACAAAAAGATGTCTATCACCATCCTGTTCAATATATGATAGGGTCCCTTAGAGTTGTTGAGGGAATACCTCACCCGCTTCAATGATGATACCATAAGGGTCCTCCCGCAAAACTAAGATATGTTTGTAAGGGTGTTGATAAACAGTCTCAAGGTGGGAAACTTCAATGAATCTCTACAGGGTCACCGGGGAAGAATGCTACATAAAAGGAGAGGGTAGCAATGCTGATAAAAAGAAATAAGACGTTAAGGAGTGTGTTCTTAGCACCAAAGGTTCGCATCACCAAAGGAAGAGTAATTATACCTCTCCAATTAAGTACATAATTTCATTCAAGCAAGTAGGCAAGATGGTGGAGATCTTCACACCTCTAAACAATCTTTGCAAGCAGATTCAACACGAGGTTCTCCACCTGCACAACATTCATGCGCTTTCATCCCCAAAAGAATACGATATGGGACCCGAGTTAGGTTGATGGTGTAAGTTTTATAAGTTAAATAAAACCACGCGAAGGACTGGTAACAACTCAAGAAAGAAATTGAGTGGTGATCCAGGAAGCAAACTTCAAGAAATATGTCAAAGGATACTCCTTCTAAGGGTCAGTAAAATCCTGCTCCAGTCAGCGAGATGATGTTGGGAGCCTCAGATCGAATAGAGAAAAAAATCCACTCACACTGGAGGACAACAAAGGCATGCGACATATGCTCAATAATATCACAGTAGAGTTCACTGGGGGTGGGAAGACTAGTTCCACCCGAAGAATGTATGCTTGCATGGTATTGAATATAGAAGACCTCTCTGAGGAATTGAAGATAGGAAAACTAATGAAGCTAGAAGCCGAAATGTCATTCTCTTAGAAAGATACAATTTGAATCCACCCGCATAATTACGATTCCATGGTCATCTCTGTCAGGTGTGACAAATGGGAGATAAAAATAGTTCTCGTAGACAAATGAAGCTCTGCACATTTCCTCTAACGGGATGAGTTTAAGAGGCTCCACCTTGACCCTAATTACTTAAAACCATTCAAGGGACCACTAGTTAGAATCTTCGGGGAGAAAAGGGCATAATAACAAGCGAAGGAGATTAAATTCAGGTATCTAGTTATTGAAGTCCCATCTTCTTACAATATAATTATAGGGAATCCAACCTTTAACCAGTTGGGATCTGTTTTGCTCACTTTATATTTGTGCATAAAATACACGCTCTCTGACTGAAGGATGGAAATTATTCAAGGAGATTAAGAAACTACTAGGAAGTGTTACACATAGGGCCTCAAACTGAAAAAGGGTCCATACTCTGGGCATGAACACCAGTAAAGCTAGTTTGAGAATAAAACCTCCAGAAAAAGCTTGTAGAGGCAGAGAGGACCCCATCTTACTTGCGAGGAGATTAAATATTAAAAACCTATAGGGAATTCCCCTGGAGCCATTTACTTTATCATTATTCATTTATTTTCTTTGCCTCTATTTATTTTCTTGATGCTATTTTTAGTTAGGTGAGTATTATATCTCTGCCTCTTATAAGAACATATTATTTTTTCGGAGGTACACTACTTTCCCTTTGTACCTTGTAAGGGGCAAAGATTCTTAACGAGACCCTTATTTTTATGACGTCTTAAGAATTTGCATTCTCGATTCCATTTCTTTACATGAAATCTAAATGTTCTAAAGAAGACCTCCTTTGATGCTATACCCTGAAGAGGGATCCTTACCGACCTTAGAGGAAATAAAAACACTAAATCCCCCAGAGGGATCCTTTTCGCCCTTAGGGGAAATTAAAATGGAGGATCTCTGAGAAGGATCCTTGCCGCACTTAGAGGAAATTAAGATGTATGATATCTAATAAAAATCCTTTTCGTCCTTAGAGGCAATTAAAATGTTGGATCTCTGAGAAGGATCCTTGCACCCTTAGAGCCAATCAAATGTGGGATCTCTGAAAAGGATCCTTGAAGCCCTTGGAGGAAATGAAAACGCTAGATCCATGAGAAGGATCCTTGTCCACCTTAGAGCATCTCCAATGAGAGAAATTGTTTTGGTTGCTTGTGTCATATTTTGTGGGTCCAAATTGCCATATTACATTTAGGAAATCTCTAAGAAATTTCAACTACTTTTACTCCAATGGTAATTGTAAATAAGCAACATATATTTGACCCCACCAATTTATACTATTTTATTTGTACTATAATTTAATAACCATTTTTCAATTGAATTGGTTTAAAAATAATAATATTTAATATTAAGTTCTCCACTTTTGAGATTGCTTCATGAAGTTCCATCTCTTAAATTTAAGCAACCAATGTTGCCACATAAGCACACTCCAATGGTTAAAAAAAACAATGAAACTTAAGGGTTAAGGAATCAATAAGTTACCACCATTAGAGATGCTCTTAGAGACAATTAAACTACTCGATCTCTTAGAAGGATCATTGAGTC